TTGAACTGTTTCGAAGAAACTGTGTGAACATTCCTGAAAAGTGAAAATCTAGATAAATGTTTGGTTCGATATTGGGTGGCATGGACGACGACTTTATTTTTGGGTAAGAGATAAACCACGTTGCTTAATATATACTCAGTCTGTTGATAAACATTTTCTTCAAACAACTAGTGAATGTTTCTTCATTTTTCGTTATTTCCCATTTCATTTAGTAAGTTATTATGTGTGCAATCTGAAAATCTAATAAAAACGCGGTAGTTTTCGAGCAGAGTTATTATTAACATGCGAAGGCGTGAGAGCCTCCTGGCTCAGTCGTAAGAATTGAGATGGAGGTGGCCTTATTTATTGTTACCGAAAAAATGTTTAAAGCGTATTGTGATTCGCGTATAACTGTGTGAAATTGAAGAAATTTCCAAAAATTTTCGATGATTTCGGATCTGAAAGTGCACGTCAGATATCGTTGCATTCCATTCATTTTCAACGATGTTGAAAAGCAAATTAATTTTCAATTTCAGATCGGCTATACGCCACATGTCCAATGTAGATCACATGATGTCCAGCATGCTACATCATCATCCTTTTTCCATGGACAATATTTTCCGAGGCTTTGGATCTTCCCGAAGCGGAATGCATGGCATGATGCCCTCCTTTGGTATGCCGATGATGCCCAGTTTCGGGCGAATGCTCAATGGTTCTATGGGCGCCTTAGGATCTCCCATGCCTGGAAACTGTAACTTTAGCAGTTCGAGCACTGTTATCAGCATGACCTCTGGCCCGGACGGTAGACCACAAGTAAGCACGACTTTGCAAAACCACAACCTTAATTAAATCTATGCTGTATTGCTTAGGTGTACAAAGAGACGTCGAGCACGAAAGTCGCCCCTGGCGGCATTAAGGAGACCCAAAGAACAGTCACGGATTCCGTTTCTGGCACGAAAAAGATGGAGATTGGGCATCATATTGGCGATAGAGCCCATATCATTGAGAAAGAGCAGAACTTGCACACTGGAGATCGCGAAGAACGTGAGGACTTTATCAACTTGGATGAGGTAGTTGAACATCCGTAGCTTGGTCAACAGACTCTCAATGTACTTGTTTAATATTTCAGGAGCAGGCGGAGGACTTCAACAAGGAATGGACTACTAAAACCAGAAGAAGGTCAGGTCTTCCAAGAATCTCATCAGGCGTTGTTAGAAACCGTCCAGCCATCGGTCACGGCTGTTGCAGTATTCCACCTCTGACGGCGACGTACAGGTCAGTAGGACAGGGTTTTGTAGGTTCAAGGGTTTATGGCACATGTGCATTTTCCAGCAGCATAATAATGGTGGTTGTATGCATTGGCTTTTGTTTTTACTCTTTATTTATTATTATATTATTTGCTTGGCATTTAAAAGCAAGGTGTTTATGTTGTATATTTAATTGAAAATCTCTCTATTTTTATTGCTTCCACCACTCTTTCTGTGTTACTAATTTTATTAACTTTAAACTTCTAAGAATGATTGGAGTTAAATTCAAAGCAGTTGCTTAAGTGCATTGCATGGAAGATGCAAACGTACCAGAAATTATTCAGATGCCAAAAAAATCAGTTGTTCTGGAAAATCTCTTGAACATTACTTGGCCATGTTTTGGTAAAAGATTAGTAGAGTTTGATGTGTTTTGCTTAATGTGAATATTAATGTTGTGTGCATGACAGCATCTGTTCGGACCCAATTTGCACAATGCCTGTATCACACACTTTAGCCTGCCCGAGAAAGGTATCCCGATTCCGAAAAATACGCGCCAATCGCAGGTAATTATACAATTTTTGTCATATTTTTAAAATTTATTGGTACATTTTCTGAATGTCTCATGTCTGTCTAGCTTGTGTAAGTGGGCTTGTGCTTGCTCATGCATGTTTTTTCATGACTTCTTCTGCATGTTGAATGCCTCCTCCTTTCTTACCCATAAATTTTCTGTTATAAGTCAGCACAGGCGTTTTAGTTCCAGCAGTCCATACCATGTGTCTGGACAAGGCAAACTTAGGAAGTCGAGGAACCTCAAGAGTGTATCGGGCCCAAGTAATGATAAATCGGCTTAAGTTGTGGTTTATTTTATATTATCATTAGTATTGTAAGTTAGTTTTTCTGGTTAACCATCTCTGGAAATGTTCTCTTAGGATCAGTTGGAAAATCTAGAGTTGCCCATTGGTTTTATACTAGAGACGGTTAGAAACAGCCAAATCGGTGCCAATTCGATCTGATCCAGATAAACCCAACAAGGTTTTTTCAACATTTTTTTCGGCTTGGCTCTATATTAGTAATTTCAGTATTATTTGTATCCGATCTGTTCAGTTAGATCATTCCAACTGGCTCGTTAAGGCAAGAGGTTTTTTAATCGTAGTTCTTCGAGAGCGGACTGTGAATTCGGGCGTCGATTTTCATTTCTAATTGAGCATCTCATATAAGATTCTGGAACTGACTATAAATTTTCATGTCTACGGGAAATTAGGTATACATAACACGTGCGCTTCTAGATTTTCGCTTTAAAATCATTTAAAATATAGATATTAACATTTGTTGTTCAATTTGAGTAGATACGATGATAACGAGGTTTACTTTCGTAAATATTATGGTAATTTTTTTGTTATTCAGGAATACCTACATTCAACTAAATAAAAAAAAACAATTTGCGGAAGGGAATTTCAGATAATCGCATATATTTTCTTCTTCTAATCTGTCTAGTTCGAGTGTTTTTTATTTAATTTCTGATTTGCGACCATTCCTGTCCGCTTATATTTTCTACGTGAAATTTAGGACATTTGCTACGCCACTAGGTAAACTGCGGAGATTGAATTAATTTGTTTTTAATCATTATAGAAGTTTGTTGTAAAAAGTAATAATTGTCTTGCTTACTTAGTGTGTTGTAATTTGACAGAATGTGTTTGTCCAATATAAATGGATACAATCTATGTGTTTTATTTGCGTTTTACTCATTGGTATTTGAAACCCAAAGCTGACCATTTTTTCATCGATGCCCGAATAAAGAAGACTCAGATTTATCGACTATGAGCTTCCATCAATCAAAAATTTACGTTATGTAATATTTTAAAACAATAATTAATCAATGTGTCCACCGAGCCTATTCGTACATACCTGAAACCTCAAACCGGCTTATTTAAAAATAGGTCTCTTGATCTATATTTAATTGTTTTCCGTGTTCTTTAAGCCTAGTTTTGATTGAGGTTTTATCCGTAAAGTGGCACATTTGAATAGTTGCTCTGCAGTGAATTCATAACGCTCCACGATAATTTAACATCATCGGTTTGAAGAATTGCAAAATGAACGCAGGAAATCAGTGCAAAGTGTGCCGGAAGAATACTGATCAGAAATGTGGAAAATGCCAGCAGATATTCTACTGTTGCAAAGAACATCAAATGACCGACTGGAAACGGCATAGGAAAAGTTGCCACCCCTTCAAGGTATCTCTAGTTCTGGATAGTCACAAAGTTTTGACCTAAAAACTGTTTCAGCTGTTATCTGATGGGACAGTTGGTCGGTTTTTGTCTGTAATCAGAGACTTGAATAGAAATGAAGTTATCCTCAAGGAAACCCCGCTGATTGTTGGTGGGTATTGACTTCTTCTTCAAAAGTAGGTACAAATCTTAAAATAACTTTAACTTCAAAAGGCCCTTCGCAAGTAACGGTTCCCGTTTGCTTGGGATGCCATCAGGAAATCTCTAGAGAAAACTACAAAACATGCAGCAAATGCGGATGGCCAATGTGTTCTTCCAAGTGTGAGAAAAATCTCGCTCATTTACCTGAATGCTACTTAACAAAACAAAGTGGGCAAAAAGTGAAACGCGCTTTTTCATCTTTCAATCATCCTCACTAAAGGGAAATTTCCGCAGATTTCCATTGAGAATTTCGGCGACATAAACCCCCTGTATCAATGGGTAACGGTGCTGAGATGTTTGTATCAGAAACAACACAACTCTTTGGTGTGGAGCAAATTGATTGGCTTGGAATCGCATTGTGAGCAGAGGCAAGCGATGTCGTCCTACCGGAATGAACAGGCAATGGCCACTGAAGTGCTACAGACATTTTTCAAGTTGGACTCTTTCACTATGGAGGAAATTATGAAAATCATTGGCGTCATAATGGTAACATGTTTTGCCCCGTGCCCAATTATAAATTATAAAATATTTTTAGGTAAACTCCCACGAAGTTCCATTATCCGAACCTCCATATCTGGCAATTTTCGAGAAATCTTCCATGTTGGAGCACAATTGCCGATCTAATTGTACGAAGAGTTTTACAGAAGCTGGAGAGATTCTCATCGTTTCTGGTACTGATAAGATGTCACAAAGCCCAGTTTTTCGTGGCTTTTTCCTAAAATATTTCTTGGGCAGCTCTAACAACCAGTTTGTCACTTCAAAGCTTTGAAAACTTGCACTTAACATACTCGAATAATTTGCAAACTGAACTGAAACATACTGGTCCACAAAACTTATTTGTATAAGAAAAGTGTTGCACATTTGTTGACACCCTGTAGGTGTAACCAGAAGTTGCTCTTTGGGGTTCTTGGTATAAATGTTCCATTCCCCTTTAGGCGTTCCCATAAAGAAAGGGGAGCATTTAAGCATTTGTTATGCGGATCCGCTATGGAACACTGCAAGACGAAGGGCTTTCCTATACGAAACCAAATACTTTTGGTGCTCGTGCCCTCGATGTTTAGATCCAAGTGAATTTGGCACTTATTTCAGCGCGGTTAGATGCCAAAATGGGTAACGTTTAATTGTGTTGGTTTATAGTCGTTTTGAGGCAGAAAAGTGCAAAAACTTTGGGACTTTCAGTTCACTTTATTGCGTCCGCTTGTGCAGTTGAGTTTCCAGGACGTAAACTGAATTTTTTTTATTTTTTCAGCGACTGCTCTGGCTGTCTTCTTCCCGCTGGTTTTTTGGACATAAACGACTCAAGCAAGTGGGCTTGTAACAAGTGCACCAGCTCAGTTTCCAACCTTTTGGTTTCTGTACTGCTGAATAAAATAGAAACTGAACTCTTGCAGCTGGACGATCGCAATGTTGAAGCTCACAGGAGCTTCATAAAGAAGTTGGGGAGAATTTTGCCCCCAAAAAGCTGCTACTTGAGCGAAGCGAAGCTACAGTTGATTCAACTAGTAGGTTCTTTGGATCAAAAGGGCCTGTCTGATATGGAGTTAGATTTGCGCAGGATGTTTTGCACGGAATTGGCCGAACTAACTGAAATTATGATCCCAAGTATGCGAGTTTTATGATAAATGTGTGATATTCAATGAATCTTCTTGACCATGAACTATGAATTTTTAGGTGAAAAACGCGTTAGAGGCACGGTTTTGTTCCAGTTGCATGCTTGTCTCGCGGAACTGGCCAGAAGAATGTCGAGCATGGGTTTAGATCGGAAGCGAGCCCACTCCACACTGCAGGTAGTTTAACTGCTAAACAATTCGGAGTTGAATAGTGCGAAAAATGTTTTTTGTTAGAAATCGAAAATTCATTTGGAAGAATGCATCGAATTGCTGAAATTCGAGCCGCTGGTTTTGCCGGAAGGCAAAATTTACCAGCAGGCCCAAAAAAACCTGCTGGATATGAAGCGATTTTTCAGCCAGTAAAAAGTTGGTAATTCATTTGAATATTTCTAGGCATAATTAAAATTTAGTTGCGAAGTTTGGTCACGGTTTCCACCGAACTTCTCGCGAAAGCTCCAAAGATCCTTTCCTGGAAACTCTGGAACGCGACTTACAGGTGCTTACCTTATTGTAATTGGTTTTGTTGCTATTAGGAATTTGAATAAATCGAAGTTCTGTTGCAGGCAACGTCTTTTGAGCAAGAAACAATAAATGTCCACATATGTTAAGAAGTTTATTATGTGCTAGTTTCAGCAGTAGCATGTTTTACGCTGTTTTCCGTACATTTTATGCAAATTATGCCAACCAATTCATCTTGTACTATAGACATTCTCAAACTATTTGGAGGCAACATTTATATGTACAACTTCTCACAAACTCCCTCAAACTCAGCAATTTACCGCTCTAGTTAATGGTCAAATTTAAACGCATTTATCAGTCCAGTGACTGAAGTTTTATTCCAGATTGGTAACATGCAGGAGACTAAACCTGAATTATTACATCCAATAAGCCTTATATGAGTTGAAAAGTAAATTTCGGTTTAACAACCAATGAAAGCTAAGGTCCATTAGTAGGAACGCCCAGGCTTTCCTTAAGTCCTCATGTTTATCACCCTCACGTTCCTCGAAATTAACTTCTGTGTTTAATTAAAGCCATAAACAACATTGTCTGGAGGACTTAGAGAGACAACCTTCTAGATGTTGACCTGTTCTAATCCGAAAATAATGTTCAGGGAACAAAAAGTTGTGATTTATTTGAGTTTTTTTATGACAAAGATGCTTATGTATATAGAGAAAACATCGATTGTTATAGATTGTAACCGCGAAAAACGGTTAAAAATAGGGATTATTTCGAAACTGAACCTCTAGAGTGTTTTTCAATGAGCTCATTGTATTCCTAACTGTTTTTTGAATAAAATGATGTAGAATTTCACGCATTTGGAACGAGTTGAAGTTTTTCACAAAATCGACCTGTATCCCTTAAAAAAAATGTTGGTCAAAAGTCAAAGTTTCACATTAGTGTGCCGGGCCTACCTATCTTTATCTATGCTCGTCAGTAAGGCTTAGGTAGGCCCTGCCTTAGACACGACACCATAGAGTAGATAGATTGGAAGTTGATTAGAACGAAATACCGATGTCACCAAAACAAGTGTCAAATTACTAGTTAACGTGTAGTTATAATTGTTGCCACCAGGGGGCGTTTGGACTTTTAAACCCGCGAATTTTATAGATTTACTTTTAGTTGTCAAACTGCCGTGTCATAATTTATCGGTCTCCCGAAAACAGAGAAAAGCTCTGGGAAAGGCGAAAAGTTAGTGAAAGTTAAAGTTATTACAATGATGTGGGAGTGCAAATGGATGAAATGTCACTTGAACTTCGAGAGTGAAGCAGTGGGCAATGGGGAATGTTGTAAATAATGGTGATTTCTCAGGTTAGTGGTAAAAAAATAATAATGTATGTATAGTAACGTATGCGTACTATGTAGTATGTAATGTATAGTAACGGTATGCGAGGCGAAAGTCGAAGGCCCGCCACTGCGTGCATGCGACTGTCAAGCAGTGGCGGAACTTCGACTTAAAAAATTTGAAAATGTCAAAACAGTCAGTGACAAACTCAAGCTGTCAGCGTGCGTGGCGAAAGTTATTACGTTCCACATGGGATGAAGAAAATTTGTAATGGGTAAAAGTAATGCTTTCGCCGTCGAAAACAGTGGCGAAAGTACGTACTTTCCACCAGGGGAGCACAAAAACTTTTTTTTTCAATGAGCTCCTTACATTTCTTGCTTTTTTCCTATGGAGATGGTCCTCTGAGTTCCTTCGAGAAAATATGAATTGTTGTTAACTAGTTTCTTCTTTCTACGCTTTGTTTACAACTTTTGTTCCTCGTCAGGGAGCGATGTTTATATGCAAAGTCCCAAGTTTCCCAGCGTCTGCATATAAAATGAAAGGGAGCATTTGGCCTTGATCCAACCGTTAACTAACCGTGCCGTAATTATTGATTAACGATCCCTTAATTTTCAGGCAAATTGCCCTTTAATCCCCTTTTAATTAGACTTAGCAATGTGTAGCTTATAGCCGGGTTCTTGCTCGAGTGGAAGCTTTATACTTAACAGACTTATTGGGGGTAAAGCTCGGTACTCCAACGCTGTGTGCATTCTATCGATTGCTTATGAAATTTATGCAATTTAAAGCTGCTACTTTAAGGTTTTGAATCTTGCAAATTTGCGACAGTTCAAGAAAGAAGTTGACGACCAAAAAAAAATCACACGAAAGCCCTGGCGTTAAAGTGGGTTTTAAAGCAGCGAAATGCACTTGATGGAAAAACCGCAAAACGCGAAACTTTCAGGAGAAATGTGTCGGATTGAGCGGGAAATTTTGCTCTGGGATAATAGTTTTCCTAAATTGTGTTAATACTAATCTTCAAATCACAGCTGAACTAAAGGTGTCCCTGTTATCCCTCCAAATATGTTCCTCTTTAGTAAATTCGCTGTGAGGGAGGATTACGTAAAATATAGCGCGGTTTACATTGTTTATACAATTGGAATGAAAGGGTAAAGGGAGCTAAAATCGGCAAAGGGACGACGAAATGCGTTTTTCAATTACCTCTGGTCCAACGAATTCGCTAGGGAGAATTAGCATGACACCTTAACTTAGATTGAGATGTTTTTCAGTATCAAATCGGACATCATCCTGAGTGGAGGAATTTTTTTTCAGAAAGTTTAGCGAAATATTCCATCAGTGGTTTCTCTGATTGAGACAAACAGATGATTGGAAATCAGTCCAAGTCCTCTTAAGCCCGAATGCCAAAACTCTTCCCGAAATGGGCTCAGTTGCAAAGAGAAATTAACGAAAATTGCGAATAAGCTTTTCACATGATTTTTAACGTGCCAACAGTCGACCCTTTTTCAATGGAGTTTCGCCTCTAAAGATGTTCAGCTGGAAATTTAATGGGCCCCATATCACTGATATTCATTATGAATGAGCTTCGTGACCGAACTTTCAGGTCGAATCACCAATTTATACGCGGCATATTGAATTTGGCGGCCCAAAGTTGATCAATCAATCTGTTTATTTATTACGATCGTGGCGTTAAACATGAATTGAAATTTTCGAAAGAATTAGGATAAAAATAAGTTCGAAACTTGAATATTATTGTTGATGAAAAATTGAATTCAATATGCTGGTGATTGTCCAGTTTAGTCCCGAACGTTTATTATTGTCGCTTTAAAATGCATTTTATTGCTTCAATAAATCGTTGCCACTTGAACCTCCTATTTTAGACCAGCATTTGCAAGGCGGCAAAAATTAAATTTTAAATTACCTGCGATTTCAATGAGTTTTTGAAGCTTTTTTCACACTAATGTTCTCGATAGACTGTGAGAATTTAAATTTGCTGCTTGGCCAAGATTTTAAGTTAGAAGTTTTAAAAGGCAAACTTGTGCTTTAGTAAAAAATTTCTATATTAGACCATCTTTCGCAAGCTTTGCAAAAATCTGAATTATGTGCGATTTCAATAAGTTTTGCGGTTTTGTGAAAATATATTGGACCAGCATTCACAAGGCAAAAATAAAAGTTATGCTCGATTTTAATGAATTCTCCACAGTTTGCACATTCAAAGTATTTCCCATAAACAAAATGAAGAGTTAGAGATTTTTGGGGGAAGAACGTGCAATTTTGTAAAAAAATCCTGTTTTATACCAGCATTTTTGATTTAGAAGATAGGGCGACATCAAACGATTTTTCATTTAACAAAAAAAAAACGAATGACCAAAATACGAGACAACTTTCGGCCAATTCTCTAAACCCATTTCGCTTCCACATACCGGAAATAAAACTACTATTTCAAATTTTATACAACGGGCATGGAAATCAAAATGTCATCGTCAGCTGGGTCAACCTCACAAGAGAAATGATGGTCACTTTTGGGGGAATATTCGTCATATCCAGACATGCTGTGTATTTTACGTACTCCGGACATTCTGCCGGATAATTGATGACTCTGCCGGATTAGATGTCTTATATGGAATCCACTAGTGCTTAATTATTACGAAGGATTCATTAATGGATTAACGGCTCTTGAATGATCGAATAAGACAATATTGACTTGTGCGTTGAGGATCGCTAGGGAGGGTTAATAAAACATATTTATTAGTTAAGAGCTATTTCCTTAACTTCCTCACTGTTTCCCACTGTTAGGATAATCTTTACTCAGGACTAAGGGCCAGTGTTTGACTATATCAACACACTTTCTTGTCATGAAGAGCAGGCAGGATCGATTTTTCCAGTAAATTTAATAGAAATTCATGCCGCCCACAGCCAAAAAAGCGTTGTTCTGAAAATGTAACGTTAAACAAGAAAATCTGAGCGTAAAATGGCAACAAAACAACAGTTGACACACTTGACCATGTCCTTGATCGGTTCTTTTATTAATAAGTTCAAGAAAAGTTCCTGGAATAAAAACGCAGCCACGAAACAATGAAATCACTGATATTAAGCGAACCGAGTGATTTAATTAGATTGATTAGCCATATGTTTAATTAAAAATACAATAAATATGCATTGTTTTATGCGCAGAAATATTTCCTCGTTGTTGTTAAAGGTTCGACTGGAAGCGGCATTATCAGCAGCTATTCAACGTAATTATTTAAGCCTTTACACATCAATTAAAGTGATACAGGGTGTGGAAAAAAGTTTAATTTCACTTGCGTGTTTTTTGAGCTCAATCGATTCCTTTCGACGTGAGGAGATCAATGATGGGGAAGAAATCATCGGTTAAAGATCGTGAACGCTCAAAAAACGCTTAAAATGTGACGAAAATGTCTATTAATTCAGATCTGAAGTTTCTAGCAAGTCTTTCAATGAGTTTGATGCGTTTCTCGCGTCCGTGAGATGAAAATGATGTAAAATTTAAAACATTTTCAGGAATTTTTTTTTTAATCGACCCACACTCTTGGAAAAATTTCGACCAAAAATCGATCGTATTCTTCCTTAAATTTAACCCTAACAATGTTTTACAGTTTCCTCAACGAATTTGTGGCTTATGGACGTGCCCACAGAATGTTTGAAAAATCCGGTCATAATTTCTCACTTTATCTTAATGGCTATCGACTGGATAGAGTTCAGAAAGCCCGATTTTCTCTCGGCTGTTTTCAGCGTCAACAAGGGCAAATTAACAGACCTTTTGATTCGCTTTATTGACTTGTTTATTGGTGTAAAAAGACTGCGCCATGTTTTTCTGCCTAACGAATTGGCAAAACAATGAGGATCGATCTTTAGTTTTGTTTTCTTCGCAATCCTGCCTTTCGATACTAATTAAAACGGTCCTTAAAGAGCTCAGTTTGCTGGCGCAGTTAGTCAATTTTTTAGGTACGAAAGTAACAGGAGAAACAATAATCACTACGTGTGTAAACAGGCGCAAAAACACCTCAACCACTTGACATCGGTAACTTAAATATCGTTCTAAAATGAAACAAAATCACTATGAACTTTTTCCGCTGTTTCTGCCGCGTTCCCTGACGATTGCAATGCGATTCTAATTTCCATATTGGGCGCTTCAACAGCCTTCCGTTCCTAATTTTCGTATGGTTGAACGTTTTATTAAATCCTGATAATTTAAAGTATGCGAACTGTGGAGTAAGAAAATGAGCGCGTAACGTCCTCAAAAAAGCAATGAAAAGAAACTAAACGGTAGAACCTGACTTTGTCACATTAAATCTTGATTTATTTCCCGGATTTTGAAGTGGTTCTATTTCATTTAGGATTCGCGAGCTTTTAAAAAGTCCCATTTAGAAGGAAAATGAAACCGACTTTTGTAAAGGAATGGATTTATTTCAAATTTAGCTGAGATGGGTTACATCACTCAGGAGTTCTTAGTTCTCCCTCGGTCTTTTCAATGTAAATTATTTCAAATTGGGCATTTTTTTGTTCAAGTTTTTCCCACTGGAATGAGTTTCAATGGATCTGTAGGGGGGGTTTGGAAAATTCCCAATTCACTGAGTTTAATGAGTTTTAGCACGGTTTTTTATAAGCGAATATCTTTCTTAGCTAACGGTTAACGTGTGGAGGAACATGATGAAGCTCGAACTGGAAACAATCGAAGGTAAGCTGAAAAGAGTTCATGGAAAGCTGCAGGATAATCGCAGTCAAGGTGCAACGAGAATCGCGAATCCTGCGAGGAGCGACGACGGCCACCGACTGTGAGCTTTTGTTGTTGTCCTGCTGAACGCCGCGCTTTTAGTCTTCACGGCGTCTCTCAGGAGAAGGACGCTAGAAGACGCTTTTCGGTACGTCCGTCTCGAACGTTTCGTCGGCTTTCAGCCGCTTAAAGTGCGCTTTTATCCGCAATCATTTTTCCAACTTGTTCAGTGCCCTGATATTGTGACTGGTCAATTTTGCTTGTTGAAGTGGTTTATGGAAACTTAGGAATTTTTATTTTGCCCAAGGTAGGCCCATAGCTTAATTACTTACTATCTGTTTATGTCGAACTAGAGAAGAATGTTTCTAAGTGTTTGTTATTTTTTTATCGACATTTTATCGTCCATGATCTATAGCCTCTAATTTTGATACTTTACTTAATACATTAGCACGCCTAAAATGATTTAAAAATGTTGCTGCTGGTACACAGACTTAATTAATTTTTTGCAAGTAGCCAAGTTGCAAATCATGCAAAAGTTGGGTATTCCACGGCTTTAACTCACTTCCTCAATTGCTTGCAGACAATAAGTCGCCCAAGATCTGTCTGGCACTGTTTATTAACTATTCCTGTTAGAAGAAAATAATTGTCGCGAAAAATTAGCTTCACTTTCCGTCTTCATTCAAGCCATCCGCCTACTCCAAATGTGCAATAAACCATTGGTGGTGGGTAAATATCATATGAATGCTGGCTTTGTGGACCAAATACCAGCACTCTTACTGAACCGCCTTGTTAGCTAAATAGGCTAGAATTTTGCTTTTCATTTTGTAAAAATTGCCAGTGTGTCAAGGGAACGACTATTAGCGAAACGACCCAATGGAAATTATTTTGTAAGATAAATGCTGAGTTAAACCACATATATTTTCTGTGCGAGTATATCGGTTGTGTTGTGTGGTGGCGAAAATCACATTTATTTTTTATATTTAAATTAATTTTACGGTTTACTGCGTTGGATCAAGGCTTCCAAACTCACGCTAAGTTGGGGGGTGATTTTTAGATTTTATTTTGTTTAGGTTTCATTAATAGAACTGTTAGTTTGAGGGAAGTTTCCAAAAGGAATGTTTTTTTGAACTTTTTGCAGGGTGTCCGCTGAGGGATTTAAATTATTTGCTTGGAAAATAAATGGTGAATTTTAGGCAATTATTATTCTTCTCACTTTTCCTGAACTCTCGGTGGTTTATGAAATATCGGGGGTTTGAATTTGCAAAGGCGTGTTAGAAGCGCAGTTTTTCCAACAAAACGTAATAAGAGTGCAATTCCAATCTCTTGTTTTGTTTTAAGCCTATTTTGTGCGCCAGTTATCAGGTTCAACGCGAAAATTTGGATTTTTTCGTTTTTCTCTTTCTGTTCTGCTGTCCGGGGCATGGAACCTGAATCATACCTAGAATTGAATTTGGAAACAAAAAATAGATACTTTAATTTGAAAAAATTGAAGTTGATGGTGGTGATTTACTTTTGAACCAATCAATAAATTCAACATAAAAAATCGCATTTTGAGTTTTTTCCCAAAATGCACACCGCTGAATTTTAAATGAAAATAACAGAAAAATCCCAGTATCCCTGGTTCACTGTCCTTTCAAAACAATTCCCAATTCAAGGTTTCCTGCTATTTCACTTCCAGCCTTTAAATATCACACGAAACCAAATCACGATGTTGTTTCAAGACTTTTTGCGATCCAATAGCTGTTTTGATATTTTCTCTTCGAAATATCACCATTATTTCAATCTTCAACACGACTTCAACGTTCATTCGCTTGTTAATTATTTCCAATATAAATTTATGTTCCTGTTGTTCGAGGAAACTCATCGATGATGGTAAAACTGTTGATTGTGGTCATAAAATCCTCAATTTGAAAGCTGGTTCATTTGCGGCAGGAATCTGCACAAAATTCCACATCGAAGTAAATTATTCAACACGCCCAACCAAGTAGTAAGTGTTGCTAACCTTCACGAGAAATCAACCACTATATTTCCCATTTTAATATGTTTATATACCCAGCGACAAAGCGATGGTGTTTAATGAATTATATTAAATTATATTTGTTAGGCTCGTTCAGCAAATCCCAAAAATGCTGACAAATCTATACGTGCACAATCGGGAAATTAAATGTACTCGCTCATTATCGAAGATGATTAAAATATATTTATTTTGGGGCTCCGTTACAGGATTTCCAATTACACAGGTGCATTAGGTACAGTAGTTCCGATTTTTTGTGAAGTTCTGGCTTAATTAAGTTTTCTTTGTAGTCAAATTAACAGTTTTTGCCTCAGAGTCGCCAAGGTTTATATGACTGCATCATTTGCCACAGTTTTGACTTCTTTATCACGAACTATCATCCAAAATTGGCACATTCTAAGATGATGCTCTTGAATACCAGAAATATGGCACATTTAACAAACTTGAGGGGCCTCCTGTTTAAAACTTCATACACGGATCTAGATATAAAAAATAAACATCGTTGGTACCGATGGTTCTATGGCTAATTTATTCACCTAATTACGCAATGTAAATCATCTTTTTGCTGCCTGTAACCTTGTGTGGTACCGAGGCCACATTGGAAACCTGTAAGATAGGTGAGTTCCATGGTTGTTCGCTAAACAAAGCACCGCTTATATATCTGCTAAAATCTTAGCACCCAACCTTTTCTGCTTTGTCACATGAAATAATCATAATTATCGTTCATTAGGTTCCAATGGACAATCGGTTAAATGTTATGGTTTAGTTCGCCTAGTGTAGTTAACTTGCGTCAGGGTCAGTGAGAGCTGTTTGTTTATTTATCAGGATAATTTACAGGCATTCTTTCCACGCCCCATTTTGTCTTCATCTTGCTACAGATGTTTTTTTGTGTTTGGTTTGGGGTATTTCGGGCGGCAAAAATACTTTTTCCGTGACCAACTCCAAGCATGAGTAGTAGAAAATTTGGCGAAGTTTACGGTTTGGTCTTTTTTGGCCAATATTTTTTTTATATAAAGGGCTGAATTCCCACTGGTGATATTTCCTTGGGGCAGTTCATTCTTTTTCCGGTGTAGAACGGGACCAAGCATCGGTCCTGGTCGGGGCCATTCTGCACATGCTGTCTCGCTCACACTCCCAGCTAAATCTGCCCCAACGCACTCAGATCGTTTAGTGCGTTGGTTTCAATATACACTGCTCACAAAATGTGCAGTTTTGCTTGTCTGGAAAAAATGTTCCAAACTGACAAATGATTAGGGAAATTGTTCATCGTCAAGAAGCGAAAAAATGAGTAGACGATTTCATCCAAAATAACCGAACATTTTGCCCCGATTTCAGCGGATATTTGCTTTTCCAGACACTCCAACACCGTGTATATTTGCTCATTTGCATGCAACTTTTTTTTAAGATACAACTTTTTATGGAAACTGATACCTTGGTGAAAAATGCCGCATTTGAAACTGATGAATTTATCGGGCCTTTAGACCGTCGTGTAAACGAAATTGACGGTGCAAACTATTTCGTGTTTGTGAAACCTCAGGAAGAACTTTTTCTACAACGGCTTAAAAGCCCGAGAAATTCATCAGTTACAAACGCGCTATTTTTCCTTCGAATTTCGTTTAAAAATAGTAGTTTAACATCGAACCCATCAAATTGAAGCAATATTCACTTGAAGCAAACTAGGAGTTTCATTATAAAGAACTGTCAACAAATTGGGACAATCAACAATGGTGAAAGCCGGTAGAAAAATCTAATTAAGTAAATCGATTTGCAATGATTATCTCGCCTTAAGCGGCCGATGAATATCAAGTGCAGAGCAGAAGTTATGTAAAAGAAATTCCTGCGGTTCGTTGCTTGAAAACCGAACGAATTTAATGGAGGAAATTGTTTGATGAATCGGTTTCTGTTCACGAATACATCATGATGAAAACTTGGCTTTTTCATCTTTTCATGTCCGGTTCGCTTCCGGATCAAAGCTTGATTAATTTCCTCCAGCGCTGCAAAAACCGTCGACAAGCAAGGGGTTTCCCTTGTTCGAACCACGTGTAATATTACGGTAATAAACGACGAAGCATTTAAAACGTACACTTTTTATTAGCACGAAAAGGGGTAAAGAGCCAAAAGATTAATATTATGCTCCATTAATTATGAAACCCGGGCATAATCCGAAATTAAACCACATCTCCATCAAGATAACAAATTAGCTATCTTAACCGGGCTAACGGGAATCGCAAAAACGGCCCAAATTTGTCAGTTAATGGACAAACAAACAAGGGTGTAATCGTCGAACATGATAAAGCACTTCCTAACGTACGTCAGCCCTATTGGGCAACTCATTCCATGCGGAATATTAAATATTGGCCAATTTTGCATATTGGCCTAGATTCGATTTTTTTAAATTTCCCAACAAACAAAAGCATCAACTTTGTACATGAAAAACGCGCGCAATCCACTCTTAAATATACATAGAAAAATGCCGCTTTTAAATCCACGAATTATATTTCGAGTTAAACCTTCGAATGCCATATCAATTTCCATTTTATTCTATACAAGAGCCTTCTGAACGAGGCCACTTCACCCCACCAATTGTCTGGTACGTTTATTTTTTTTTTTTCATTCGGTCATGTCCACTTTTCAACCACTCTAATGCCGGCCGCGGTCTAATATTATCATTTATAAAACAGACAAGTCCATTTTTATTTTTCCGGCCCCTAATAGAGGGCGGCCAGTTCGTTTCCCTTTTTAAAATGTTCAGTACGGAATTACGTGAAAATGCTCTAGTTTGGAAATTTTCACTGGGAACTGATGTGAGGGAATGTTTTGTGCGCGCCACACACAAGGGTTTATTAGATTAGGTGCGGGCCATTTACGGCCAGAGGGTAACAAGAAAAAGTTCCCGACTAAATCAATTGATTAATTTGAACACAGTTCAACAGGCAAAAATTCATGTTAATGACAAAGAGAACTAGTTTGGCGGCTTAAGTGAGTGAATGACTGATTAGCTCATAAGCATAGGCTAAGGTGGGCAACATAAACAGTTTTTATGGTTTCTTTGTTGACAGATCTAAGCCATTACTTCCGGGTCTGATGTAATCAAAAGCCAATCAAGGAGAGTCAATTTCATTGATCGATGAATATATTACTGAGGATTTTGACATTGAAAGGCTCCTTTTTAGCGCTTTGATCTTACAAACATATGGAAAACGGTCAGAAAAGCGCACGAATCGCATAATTAACGGAGCAATTTCAACGAGTGCATATGTCTAATGTTTGCTTTGTTTATGCAATTCCCAATT